ACTTTCAACTAGCTTCGAACGCGTTGAATCATACTTAGATGACTTGGAATGACGCAAAACGGACCTATTTCTAGGCTCGAAATTCCAAACGGACCTTGATTACGCCAAACTCTACTTCAAACCAAATTTAAAGAACTAGAAAACCTTCAATGCACCAACTTTCAATATTAGGCGCCGAAACACTCCCAGATCACCCGAAACACTATCCGAACATATGTCCAAGTCAAAAATCATCAAACGAACCTATTGGAACCATCAAATCCCAGTTCCAAGGTCGTTTACTTAAAATTTTGACTCAAGTCAAACTTGACCATCTTAGGCCACTATTAAGGAACTAAGTGTTCCGATTTTAACCCGAACCCCTCCAAAACCCAAACCAACCACCCCCGCAAGTCATGAAATAGTAAAAACACATACATGAAGTATTTATTATGGGAACAAAGATCTAGAAGCAAAACGACCAGTCGGGTCGTTACACGTTTTATTCTAATCCCAAATATCTGGAGTCACTAGTACATGAGAAATTAGAATATTACAAGTATGGTCTGAACGAAATACAACTGTTAGAAACAAAATAAATAGTAAAGATAGAAATATATGGGGACTCCAGGGACTGCGAATGCCAGCAGCTCTACATCAAGTCTCCAATGTAGATTTGATCTAAGCAGAAGCACCACTAGACACCGATGGGACCAACACCAGTATCTGCACATGAAGTGCAGAAGCGTAGCACGAGTACAACCGACCCAATGTACTCCATAAGTGTCGATCCTAACCCCGATGAGGTAATGGCGAGGCTATGACAACATACCTATGTAAATCATGTACATGTATATACATAAAGCAACAAAATAACAAGTAGGACAATTAAAATATTAACTGAGAGGGGACATGTAGAAAGGGAGTACGATAAGAACGACAGGTACAAAATCACCAAATAGCCTTTTTTCGAAAATAATAACAATGAAACCAATTAAATCATCAATCCGGAAATCAAGTAAACCATTGAAATAAACAATGGCATGGCATCACCCTTCGTACTTTTACTCTCGTCCTCACTATGTAATAATGATATGATAATCAAATGGCACGACATTACCCTTCGTGCTTTTAATCTCTTCCTCACATGATATAATAAATGATAATAAAAAATCAAATGCACGGCATCACCCTTCGTTCTTTAATCCTCACAATCCCTCAAATAAATGATATTATATGCAAATAAGACATGGCAACACCCTTCGTGCTTTTCACTTATCCTCGCCAAGCAACTACATTAATCCAAAATAGCAAAACAAGATGGGAAGCAATTTCACTTCAATCATCGTGTAATGATAACTCAACTCAACTTTCAAAATCCCAACAACTTCAAAATAAACAATAGATATGAATATGAACAATTAAAGAAGTAATAATCTAACTATGACATAGAAAGCATAGTCATTGAAGTAATATAATACAATAAAACAATTTTCACCCGCATGCTTTAACCCAATGACAATGCATATATACTCATCACCTTACATATACGTCGTCCCCACATATAATTCACGTAGCAAATAGACCAACAAGTCTTAATACCTCAAGTCAAGGTTAACCATAATACTTACCTCACTTTGCAACCAAATCAATGCTCAACCAAAGCGAAAAAGATTCAATCGTTAATGAGTTTAGAAAAAGTCAACAAAAGTCAACCACGGGCCCGCTTGGTCAAAATCCGAGATTCAGATCAAAACCTAATTACCCATTCACCCCCGAGCTCGATTTTGTAATTTATTTCAAAATTCGACCTCAATTTGAGGTCTAAATCTCAATTTTACAAAAAATCTCAATTTCTACCCATATCCTTAATTTCTACCATGGAAATCCTAGATTAAAGGTTAAAATCAATGGGTGATTATGGAAATATAACAAAGCAAGTTAAAATTTACTAACCAATGAAGTGGGGGATGAAAAACCTCTTCAAAATCGCCTCTAGGCCGGGCTCTAACTTCAAAATGGTGAAAAATGGTTCAAACACCGACTTTCAACTATTTTAATACCTGGGCGTCAGGTGTTCTTCGCGTTTGCGAAGCACAATACACCAGACATCAGAAACAGCTATTGCACAAGTTCAAAATGATCTGAAACCTATTTGAACCTCACCTGAGCCCCTCGGTTCCAAACAAAACATGTACACAAGTGTAATAACATCATACGAACTTGCTCGTGCAATCAAAATACCAAAATGACATCTAGAACTACGAATCGGACATCAAAACAATATGAAATTCAAAAGAAAACTCAAGAACCTCTAAAATCACAACTAAGCGGCCGGATCCTATCAAACCAACTCCGAATTGCACTTGCAGACAAGTTTCAAATAGAAAAACAGACCTATACCAAGTCCCAAAATCAAAATCCGAACCAAGTAACTATAAAGTCAACCTATGGTCAAACCTTAGAAGTTTCTAAACTTTCAAATTGCTAACTTTCGGGATCGTTTACACAAAAATACTGATCCGGGATCGTTTACACAAAATGTTGACCGTAGTCAACTCAGGTTGTTTTTAAAGCCAAAATCATATTTTCTTCGAATTTTTATGTAAAAACTTTTTGGAAAAAGAGCATATATTAACATGAAAATTCCATGAAGATGAGAATAAGCACGTCACTCAACATGCTCGGTCAAAGGACTCGGTTTTTATTTTTAATTAAAATAATAGGTGTCAATTAGAGGACTCTTAGAGGGTGTTTGGCCAAGCTTATAAGCTGGTCAAACTCGCTTATAAGCATTTTTTGGCTTATCTACTTGCTTGGTAAACACCCAAAGTCTTTATGAGCCAAGTGCTTATAAGCTAAAATTAGTCATAAGCCATAAGCTTATGGCCAGTGTTTTAAAAGGCGTGGGCATAAAGCGAGGCATTTTACATATGACTCAGCGAAGCGTAAGCCCCAAGGCACGGGGCGTAAGCTCCATAGATATTTAATTTTTAATATTTTATAAAATAATATAATTACAGTAAATATTTATAAACAGGTAAAATTGCATAAAAATTGAAGAAAGTTATAAATATGTGGAAATATATATATATATATATATATATGTGTGTGTGTGTGTGTGTGTGCGCGCGCGCGCGCACTTCATCCCCATAAAAAACTGGTCAAAACAATCTATTATACGCTACTTAGAAGCACAAGTAACTTGAGTCGAAAAGAATAAAGTTTTCTACATGGAGGAACAAAAAGGATGACTAACCTGCAATTTGAACTTTGAACTTGCCACTAAGAAGGAGAATGTAGTTCTATTTGTATTTGAAAAAAAAAATATTCGTTGCTTTTAGGAGATATTAGCATACTAGCAGACAAGATAAAGAATTAGGAAAGACAATGAATTAGGGATTTAATCAATAAAAAAGGTCTTGACTTTTAAATTTAATACATTTCAGTTCCTTTTAAAAACTTTTAAGTAATTACCGAGCTGACTTTTGAGAATTTAGGTATTATATAAAGGACTTATTTAACAAATTTTATTTTAATTTGAAAAAGTCTTTGGGGCTTACGCCTCACTAAAAACAACGCGCCTCAAACGCCTGGGCGTACGCCCCAAACGCCCGGACGCACACCCCAAATTCTGGGCGTATGCCTCTTGAGATTTTCGCCCCACACTATGGCCTCAGGGTGTTTTTGGTGTGCCTCGTCTCCGGAGCTCGCCCGAAAATGTCTTTTAAAACACTGCTTATGACTTTTCAACTTATAAGCACTTTTAGTTTGATCAATTCTTTTACTAGTTTATTCTTAATAATAATTTATAATTCACAAGATACTTTTCCCAAAAATAAGTTTTCTAACTTTCTTCATTCCATATTCGTTGTTCACCTTTTTATTTACAAATAAATTTTTTAATTTATAATCTTTTATCAAGTTTTAAGGGTATTCCAAATCTACTGTGGTGCAGCTTCTGTGGATTTATGCATGCCTTCTACTCAGAAATGCAAATGATGGCACCTGATGAGAGATTTATAGGTGCTGCACGGAGATGTTTGCAATTGGTGTGTCAATTCAAAAGCAACACTACAAGCTAGAAATCTTTGAGTACACGTTGTGTAACATTCAATTTTCTGATAGGTTATTGCTACTTTGTATCAACTTGCAGTAGTCGTTTCTTTACTTTTTATTTTAATTATGTTGGACAATTTATAATACTTGGACCCATTTTGGGATTTATTATATATAATAACTACTAGGTGAATAACCTAGTAGTATATTTGCTTAAAAAAAAAGTTTTAAGGGTATTTTAGTCCTTTTAATACAAAAATAGTTTATCATCATTTTTTTACTAAACACATTAACTGTTTATTATTATTTTTCAGCACTTCTATCCAAACACGTAAATACTTATTTAAAAAATCAGTTTCAACACTTCAAGCTTATCAGTTATTTACAATAAGCTAATCTAAACGGGGTCCTAATTTACTGAAAAAAAATGTTTCTAACTCTTTTGTTTCACCTTTTATTTTTTATTTGTACAAGATCTTTTAGACGGTTAGTTTGTATCTTTTAGTCAAAGGAATAAGCTTTACTAACTTTTCCAAGAGTGTATATATGGGCCATTTTAGCCCAACAACTAATATTAGAGTCCATGTTCGGTGAGCATGGTGATGGAAGACAAATACTTACGATGTAGGTGACACATAGTGAATCTCAAAAATTAATATGTAGATCGTGGTAATGGATCACATGGAACTTAGTTCGAGGGGGATTGTTGGGTGTGCGAATAAAATCCACATTGATAACAAAGATAGAGAGTTTACATATAAGGTATAAGCATCTCTTAATGATGTGGAGCCTTTAGGATAAAACCGTACGGGTTTGACCTAAAGCGTACAATATCACACAATGTTAAAAGTATATATGGGCCATTTTAGCCCAATAACATACGATAATAATCACTATAATATGGGTTATAAGAGAAGAAACAATTTCCCGTAAGAAGTTGCACGAAACACACCAACATTTTTTCAAGCTGGACAATAATAAGTTAATTACAAAATACATGTCTTGCGAGAGGAAAGTTAAATAAGTACTCTTAACAAACACTAACAATATTACACTGACCTGCTTTCCTTTGTTCTTTGCACATATATTGCAAAATTATAAACCACTATTTTCCCAAGCCTAAACTCTAATGGCCTTCCGATCTCTCTTGCTTGATACTTTCTGATTGCCATCTGAGAGCAATAATAAACAATGAATTACGCTAGGGTCTTCGAGTATTGTGTACACTTCCTGTGATTTTGGATTTATTTTTTTTAAAAAGAAACAAACAAAAAAGCTTTAACTTGTTGAATATCTAAGGAATTCTATTAAACTTGTACCCATGGAATAAGGACAACATATGTACAAAGGAGTTCACAATAACATGAACAAAGTCTCCAATTCAATTAATGGCTTATGTTTTGTTTTTATAACTGTTTTCTTTAAATTTTCCAAAGGAAGATCTAGTATAGACAAATGTTGCTAATAAAATTTACTTCCCCTGTCCCAATTTATACGATATTTTTCGCTAATCGAAATTCAAACTATTTATTTTGACCGATTTGGACATAAAATCTTTAAATTTTATATTTGGAAATTAATTAAAAGTACTATAAATCACAATAATTAATAATTTAACATATTCAAAAGACATAGGATAGTCAAAATTCGAACACCGTTACATAAATTGGAAGTAACAAATAATAAACACGACTATTGGTTAATTACCTCAGTGTCTTCTTCGGCGAAAGTTCCTGCGTCGTCTTCGACCTCCCCTCTGTGCTCTGTATGTCAATTCATGAGTGAGAGTTGCATAAAAGTGTATGAACCATCTTGGCCATTGAAATCGGTATATGAAATAGCCAATGATAAATCCAAAAACCAAGCCACAGCCATATCCAATTAAGACAGATCTCCAAGTCATTTCACTAAGAAAACTCGGTTCATCATCTTTTTGTTCAACCAACAAGCCTGGTTCGGATGCAGTTTTATGATGCCCGCATTCATTTGACAATGGAAATCCACATAAATCAGCATTTCCAAAATATGAATCATTTGGAAACGTATTGAACTGATTGCTATGAGGAATAGGTCCAACAAGTTGGTTGTGTGACAGATTTAAAACCGCGAGAAATGTTAGAATTGTCAATTCCTCAGGAATTTTCCCAGTGAGCTGATTAAATGAAAGGTCCAAGGCTTCAAGCGTGCTCATGTTCTTCATTTCAACAGGAATACGTCCAGTGAGGTAGTTATGAGATAAATTCAGCAGCACAAGTGAATTTAAATTCCCTATAAACTTTGGGATTTCTCCTACAAAATTGTTCCTTGATAAATCGATTGTTTTGAAAATCTTCAAGATCCTGTTCAATTGAATCTCCTGATTTTTCATCACTAAAGTCACTGATTCCTCATATTTGTCTGTATAATTTCCAAAATAACTGTCCTTTTCCTCCATATATTCCAGTTTTGATTTGTGTTCATCCATCTTCATCATTGCTTTGAAACCCTCTCCAGGCAAAGAGCCAGTAAACGAATTGTCGGAGAGGTCAAATATCCTCAAATTTGGAAATGGTGATTTTGTTTGGAAAGCAACGACATGTCCATAAAATCTATTAGATTTTAATACTAGAATCTCTAACTCATTCAGCATCTCTAGCCAGGTGGGAAATGTAGAATGGATTTTGTTGTTTCCCAAATCAAGGACTTGTAAGTATGTACAATTGACCAATGATCTTGGTATCGGACCTTCCAATTGATTTTTACTCAAACCAATATGATGTAACCCGTTACCCCTTGAGAATATGTTTGGAATCGGACCGTGAAAGTTGTTTCCTCGTAATTCTAGGACTGAGAGAGTTTTAGAAATAAAGAAACAAATGGGAATTTCACCACTTAAATTATTATAAGACAAGTTCAAAAGATCTAGGTTATTTGGTTGACAAAATGAGGACGGCAAAGGTCCTTTGAGTGAGTTTGATTGAAGATCAACAACCGTCATTGTCTGCCAAAGTAGATGGTTTAAGCTTGTAAGGTGGTTGCGAGTGAGGTTAAGGACTTGCAATGAATTCAAACCCTCAAACCATTTAGGGAACTCGCCGTGGATTGCATTACCTGATAGATCCAAGATCACCAATTCCTCAGAGTTCAATAGGAAATCTGGGAAATCTTTCACACGACAAAAGGCTAAGCTTAAATGAAAAAGATGATAAGTAGTAGTACTGATGACGTTGGTCGTGTTGTCCTTATTGCTACTACTCCAAGATAAACCACTATGAGAAAGATCAAGATATCGGAGGTTTGTCATGCCTGAAAATGTTTCTGCTCCAATTTCACCGGAAAAACTATTTGATGAAAGTTCAAGGTAGTGGAGCTTAGTCATGCTTGATAGCATATCTGCTCCGACCTCCCCACTCAAATTATTTGATCCAAAAGCGAGAACAGATAGGTTCACAAGATGTCTAAGTGATTGAGGTATGGGACCAACGAGTTGATTTTGAAACAAATCAAGCACGCGTAGAGAGGAGTTGGGCTTAAACTCGGGAAGTAGTCCGCTGAAATGATTGCTCTCCAACGTTAAATGAATCAATGAAGGAAGACTAATCATCCAAGATGGGATTGAGCAGTTGAGTGAGTTTCGAGACAAATCTACATCTTTTAGATTTTGAAGCCCCCCGCCGTTAGTAGTCAAAGGAAGTGGACCACTGAGTGAATTGTCACTCAAACTCAAGAATTCAAGCTTTTGCAAGTTGGAAACAACATCAGGAATTTTGCTTTCCAAATGGTTGTATGAAAGATCTAATTCAGTGACCTGTGAAAGGTTGCTGATGGATTCTGGAATAGATCCAACGAGATTGCACTGAGAAAGTTTCACAATTTTTAAGGCTTTGAAACTTCCAAGTGAAGCGGCAGGTAGTACTCCTCCGGAAACATTGTTGTAAGAGAGATCTATCTCAGTTAGCGTATGGCTACTGGTCCAGTTCGACTTAGGGAAAGAAACAGTGAGATCATTTCCTGACAATCTGAGAGTTTCCAAATTGGATAGAAGGAAAATGGTTTGTGGCAAGTCTCCATACAATTTAGTTTCTTCAAGATCTAGATATCTCAAAGAAGAGGATACATTATTAATGGATGATGATATCTTGGATGAAATGTCTACATTTGAAAGAGAAAGTACCTCTAACTTGGTCAAGTTTTGAAAGAGCATCCTGAATCCAAATTGATTAAGTTGGAGAAGATTTGGAGCATCATCAGAGAGATCAAGCGAAATCAATTTGGAGAGGTGTGAGATTTCAAACGGAATCTTTCCTTGGAGAAAGCAATGAGAGAGGTTGAGATGCACCAAACTGACCAACTGACCAATGGTGGTCGGAATTTGAGAACCTGAAAAGTTGTTAAAGGAAAGATCAAGGGTTTGAAGATGATGAAGATGGAAAAGGCTACTATTAGGATGAATAGTTCCTTCAATTTCGCTGCAACTCAAGTCCAAACCAATGACATGACCAGTGAAACTATCACAGGTAACTCCATTCCACCTACAACAATCCATACTACTCCTATTCCAAGACGTCGTCTTAGGATAAGAAGATTGGCAAAGTGGATAGTCCGACGATGTCATCGCAAGTGATTGCTTAAACTGTAAAAGTGCAAGGGTATCATCAGAAGAGCAAAGTGGACGGCCAAGGGAAAAAGAAACCACCTCAACTGCCAAGGCAACATAGAAAAGAAACAAAGAAATAAGTGACAATAATCTCCCCATCTCTATCTTTCTCATCTATGTCTAATAGCAAATGTTACTAGTAATTAAAAGATGTTGTACTCTCATTTATATAGAGTCGTAAATTAAACTAGCTATAATAAGGAAACCACTTACGTACTCTATAAGAATAAGGACAACCATGTCAAAGATTAGAATTTGTGCACCGGCCCGGTGCTACCCTCAACTGTACGTCCATAGTCAATTGTCCCAACAGCGACCCCAATGGTAAGTTGCCTCTTTGGCTACTTAATCTTTAGTAGTTGAAACTATATTCCTTCACCTTTTGAATGGAAACGATAACCTTCTTAACCTCATTTTTCTGTGAGCTAGAGAATATAAGGTTCAATAAAGAAGTAATGTTGTTATAGATCTGTTTATTTTTTCAGGTTTAATAAATGAAACATAAATCACCTTTTTGCCGGTTGCTAAGAAGTTGGTTCGGACTTTGTAGTATCGTTGAGAAGATGCCTCAAGTTAATATTCTCCGATCGATGATACTTTTAATATTTGCCCTTAATACTACTTCATTAGATCTCATACAGTGGCGGGGACTGAAGTTTCATTGGGAAGGAGGAGGAGGAGGAGGAGGAGGGGTCAAAATATAAAGAAGCAAACCCATGAAGAAACTATGGAATATTAATATATATTGTATAAACATAAATAGGAAAATTTTCTACGAACGGATATCGGTTGACACCCCTTGAATATACGTGGCTAGGCCACTGGTCTCACACACCACAATAATTAACCGGTGCATTTCAAATGGGTAAGAAAATCACCTAAGGGTAATATCACTTTTGACTTGTCATCAAAAAGACTTCGTTGATGACCTTAGCTTCTTCTCTACTCCACCCACAGCCCACGCACTTCATTTTCTTTTTCTTCAATCTTGAGTCTTTCCTCATGCACTCACATTCAAAGTTGATAACAGAGATAGTTGATTGAATATGTATTAATTTCCTACTATAAGTTTCTTAGATTTTTTAGTGAAACACATTCCTATGTAAGTTGTATAGTACAAAATGCTTAATAAGGTTGACATGTAAGTCGTACAGTTCAAAACTACGAGTACTACTTAACATTCCTGCGATTGAGAAGTGAGAACCATTTACTATCAGTGGCGGATCTAGAGTGCAGGGAACCAATAACTTTTGTCTTGACCCTGTTTTTCTATTAAAAAATTTACTAAATATTTATAAATATATAACTGTGAACCCAGTTATTATTGTATATTAATTTGAGATTACGAGAGGAACCTATATACTTTAAATCTTGGATCCGCCTCTATTTACTATGTCATTACCACTAAACTTTTTTGTGTATGGCCCTCACTACTAAAAATCTGCTAAAAACCGACCAACTATTTCCGACCAACGTTGGTCGGTCAAAA